GGGGGGGTTGGAGGCGGTGCCGGGGACAATAACGGGAAGGAATGCGCGCCAATGATGGGTGATGGGCTTTACTGGGCGAACGGCGCGCGAGTGCACCCTCAAGCGACGCCAGGCGAAAGTGGGACGGTGGACGGCCTGCCGCAGCGCACTGCACTGGGGCCCGGCCCGGCGGCCGCCCCGCACTCCACGAGCGCGGGAGAGAGAGCGCGCGCGAGCACCCCAACCCCCTGCTTCGTGTTAGTCCATTTAGTACACTAGTCTGGAGTCGTGGCCTCGCCCCCGCGCGCGGTCGGTCGCACCCATACCAATACAGCCCTCCCTTCCCGCCGCCGCCACGCCACCGGCGGCGCGCGCTGACGCAGGGAGTCGTGCAACAGTCCGAGGGCGGTCATTTCATTTCGCTACCCGAGGCTCGTTCCGCGGCCGGCGCGGCTGGAGGTGGCGCGACGCTGCTGCTGATGGGTGCGCTAAGCGCCTCCGCCGTGCTTCCACCTTGCAGCCCCGCGGCCGCCCCAGCCCCATTAGGCGGGCGGTGATGGTCGCGGTGACCGGCGAAAGGGTTGACGGGCCGGGCCGAGTTAACGGTCACCCCGACCGTTACCGAATTGCCGGGAACGCCCGCGACGCGTTCACGGTGAGGAGCAACAACGGCGACAAACAACGCCTCTTTGGCGCGGCTGGCCAAAGTATATAGTTCCCGCAGGGTAGCCGCAGCCAGCCGCCGCCGCCCCCGTCCCGCCCCCAATGACCCACATACAGGGAAGACCCACAGCAGCGCCGGACAGGCACGCCAGCAGGGCCGGGCCGGGCGGGGGCGGCACACACTACGGGGTGCGAGCTGGACCGGGCCGGCCACGAGAACGTCATGAACACATCAAGTTAAGATGAGATGGTAAAAGTAGGCCAAAAACGTGCCACATAAGATGTCGATAAGGCCTGTTTGATGTTTTCGTGACGTTTTCCTGTTTCTTGATATAGAGAAGGGAGGGGAGGGGGGCTAAAAAAGGGACCCCTCCATCCCGCGGACCAATCTCCGCCGTCCCGCGCCGGGCCGCGGACACGCGCTTGTCCTTCGAGTCCTTTAATTAAGTACGGGTCCTTTATGAGTACGTACCCGCGCGGCCGAAGAAGTTTATTTCTCGCAGCGGGATCTCGTCGCAAACACACACGCCACTCATTAGAGGCGGTGGGCGCGAGATTTGGGGGAGGGGGGCGGGGGTGATATTCAATTGCGGGCGAAGTGTCGGAAATCAGTTGGGGAACGGCGCGGGGGTAGGAAAGGCACGACTTTTCCTTGCCTCCATATGGCGCCGTGCACTGTCACACATACAGTAACGTTCAAAAAATATAATTAAAAAGCAGGTCTGTAGATCTGCTTAAAACCTTTTTTCGAAATTGGAAGAAAGGGAAAAGAGGGGGACAAAAGGAGAGCTACGCCACATTTGAGACTTGATAAGCCCACGGATCAATCCTCATCAGCCTAAGTATGTACCTACACAACGATAATCATAACCTATAAAACACGCGCGACCGGTGGACAAATCTACATTAAGTGAAAGTTTCAAATTCTTGAGGCATGCGAGAATGCAAATGCTCTCTAAATCACTGATAGAATAGTTTTTTTCCTCTCTTTACTTTAATTGTACTAAGTAAACCAGACAACGATCAAAGATAAATACCAATTCAGTTTGAGGAATAAGTAAGGGATGAGGGTTAATTTCAACCCTTAAAGGAATGCCTGTTTGACAAGCCAGTGATTCAGGGGAAGAAATGCAATTTTCGTGCATAGAGTTACAGATGAGATAAAAATTCAGCAAGGAAAGGTGAGTTTTACACTTATAAAATATTTGTTGTCAATAGGGGTGAGCCATCTGTCAGCTGAACGAACGGGAGGGTGCAGTACACTGGAATTGACGCTCCATCAAAAAATTCTCATGTAACAACAAGATGTCCCCAAGATAATTGAATTAATGCGTAGCAGCGGTTACTTACTTTAATTTTGTCATATGTAGAGGCAAACTCCAAACGGTGAACGAAAGGGTTGAGAAGGTCGGCGGAGAACTCATCCCCCGGATGCATCTTCCCGTTCATATTGATTAGTTTCGCAGATCACAGAGCGGTGCTTTTCAGAGAAGAGATACACATTTTAATTTATACTGGGGATGTACACACGGCCGCGGTATCTAGCTCGACCGACACAGCATTGATGACGTTTAAAGTAAGAGGTCCGTGCGTCCGTTCGCCACCCCAACACACAAATACGAGTGCGATGCGAGCAGACGACAAGACGCTGCGCTGTCTGCTGTCAGACTGCTGAGAAGCTTTTCCCACCCACCTAGAGGGGCGCTGCTGTAGCTTCTTCAGATTCTTCTTCTCCCTTCTTGTCTTCCTTTTGTTCTTCTCTCTTGCATTCTCTGCCTTGCCTCGCTGCTGCGTGCCAAAACAAACGCGGGAGCTGCAGAGAGTTCGTTTGCCGGTACTTTTTTAATATTTCAGACTTCAGAAGAAGTTTGAGTCGGCTGTCTAGATACCAAGCTAAATAGTTATTTATTCACCATGGCGGCATCCATGCCAATCAACCCCAAACCTTTCCTGAACAGTTTGACTGGAAAACCAGTAATGGTGAAGCTGAAGTGGGGGCAAGAATATAGAGGTTATCTCGTATCTGTAGATGGTTATATGAACCTTCAACTGGCCAACACTGAAGAATTTGTGGAAGGAAACTGTACAGGAACTCTAGGGGAAGTGCTTGTAAGATGTAATAATGTATTGTACATCAGAGGTGTCGAAGAAGAGGAAGAGGACGGTGAAATGAAGGATTAGAAGGAGGTTATGTTGACTGGTTCGGGCAGTCTTTATCACATACATTTTTTTTAGTGATGATTCCAAGCAAGAAGCACCGAAGTGAAGCTGCAGATCTTATGAAGCATCATTCATTTCTTTTCATTATCTCATCCAGAGTTCCAGTTTTTCTATTCAGTTGGTGTACATTTGTGTGTTATTTGTTCACCAATTTCTCTCATATTATCGGATCATTTATAATTGTGAACTACTAGATATTTCCTTGGTTACTTTGGTTATTTGCCATGTTCTGAATGTGAACATTCCAATCACCTTTATAGGCAAAGCATTGTTTTTAATTTATTTCCAGTTTGTTTCGTATACTTGTACTCATTAAAGCTGAAAGGTTCCAGAACTTTGTCGACTTGGTTGTTACTTGATTTTATTGCCATACATTAGTCAGTACATCTTATATCACTGATACTACTTAACACACTGTTTAAGTGAAAGAACTATTATAACTGTAATAAAAAGTTAAACTCATATTTAAGTTAATTTTTTGCCTTTAAATTTAAGACCAACATACGTGAGACAAGTCAGTGAAGTAAGGAAGTGGTTGCAGCAGAAGCTACAACATAAACAGCTGCTGCAGTACATTTGAATTATCACTTCTCTGTAAAAAATAAAACTTGACACAATAACTGACACCAATGCATCAGCTCCTGATCATTAAAGACCGTACCAAAGAAAGTGTTCCAGCTGCTACCCTTGAAAATTTTTTTCCTCGAGACTTGAACACAAGATGTTCGATGGCAGTAGAAGGAAGAAAACAACTCAATGACCACTTTCTTGTAAGGAAACATTGAGGAGTGGCAGTGTATTTATATTTAATTAATAATATAATAGAACTAGCTCAACACTAGCAAAACAAATTTAAAAAATTAAAATCCAGACCGCAACTGAAAGCAACAATGTGCAATGTGTACATAGCGGTAGTTTGCCCACGCCCGGCATGAAAAAGAACTATTTTTAAGACATTCTGAAAGAGGTTTTGATTGTTTTGTCAATAGGTATATCACAAATCAAAATCACAGTATACAAAACTCTAAGCATGATTTTTTTGGTCAGCCTGGAAACAACACCAAGTAAGTTGCCAAAAATAATCCTTGCAATGTAACAATCACAAAAACAAAAGAACTGACAGTCAAATAGAAATAAAATCTTACGATCATGCATGTATTCCGTATAATCTTGGTTTTCAATATTGATATTTTAATAGAGCTTCATACAAGTCTTATAATTAAGATAAATGCCCATATTTGAAGTTGTACGTATTGATCCAATAAAAAGAAATCAGAAAGAAATTTAAGTTTTCCCATGGAATAATAGCATTAACTTCCAGTGCAATAATTGAGATTACAAATGAAAAAGTGCCTTATTCACAAATGGGGTAGGAGACAGAATTTAAAATTGAGTGAAGAGATGCTAAATAGGCAATTTCACAAAGAATGAAGGAATGTTTGAACTGATTCCCATGAAAATGATGAAATATAACCACACAGTCAAATTACAGTAGACTGCAATGTTTCAGAGGAAAATTCAGCCATTTTTTGAGCAGATATAAAATAAAAGATATATAAAAACGTCTCTAGCAAACTAGAGCAAAAATTGTACGTAGACTACAGATCTATTTCTGAAATCATCATGGCAATTCCTGTTATGTGATGAGACAAAAGCGGTACAAAGTTCTAAAAAACAAATTTTCAAGTAAGCAAGCAATTCAGTTCAACGATCAGTACAAAGGCTTGCATTTCCTCCTAAATGACCCAATACACTATTTTTTATTTTTTTTCACAAGCTATTACATCTCTAAAAAGCAATACTCGGGAATCAAAATTACTATTATTACAATGGAATTAGAACCATGAAGAGCCAATAAGCTGGGAGAGAAATGTGTGCCCATGTTCCACAACACAACAAAAACAGATCATATATATGGTAATTTAAAGACTGGTTGATCTACAACTTCATTCTGGTTCATATATCACCTCTCCAAAGTAGGCAGTGACAGCTACAAGTTTCTTGTCCAGAAAGTTTTGCTCTATTTCAACATGTCCACCTGGTCCAGCCAAAATAGCAAGCTAAAAAAAAAAAGAAGTAATAGTTATAAATTGCTGATTGATAGATATACGAACACGGTACAAACATCCCTTCTAAACTCACCTGATCAGTATTTATATTTCTCGGTAAATACAGAGCAACATTTTCAGTTATGTTCCTTGCCATTTTATATAATTTGGATCCTCCTAAAGGAGCCATGCAAGTTTCTAAATCAAAAACTCCAGCACTCAAATATTCTGGGCCTCCCCACGGTGGGCTTAGAAATACCACATCAGCTAGGAGTGTTGGGCTAAGCTTCACAAAATCCCCACATATGAACTCAATCCTGTCTGCCACTCCATACACTTCAGCATTGTGACGTGCCATTTCCAACTTTATGGGGTCTATATCAATGGCAATAACTAAAAATCAATACAAATACTGTTAGTAACAATCAGTCAATAACAAATAAAAATGACTCAGAAGTTGAGGTCAACAATACCTCTTTCACAGGTAAATGCAAACTGAATGGCATTTCCTCCAGCTCCACAAAATGCATCAATTATGAGATCACAGCGCAATCTTTCCGCAGTATGTTTAGCCAATTCTTCTGGAGTGACAGAAAACCAGCTCTCTGAAAATTTAATAATAAAATTAAGAGTTAGTCATAATGTAAATGTAATAACATCAAAAAACTGTACAAGAAGATTTAGGAAAACAGTAAGAGAATAGTAGATGTGCGGACATACATACCAGCATCCAGTTGGATACCCTCATCAAATTTGTGAAACAGCTGAAAGCGACGGTACCAGTACTTAATGAGCTGAGGGTTATTTTTAATTTCATTTGGAAGATTTGCTTTCATTAAAGTACGTTTTTGCTTCTTTTTCTTTTTTTTGGACTTTGATGATTTACAAGCATCTTCCACTCCTTCCATATTTAGAGTGCCAGCCATATCTAAAGGTGTCTCCTGTACATTCTGTTCTGACACAATTGCACCTGCCTCAGCTGATGATAGAGCTCTATTATCCTCGAACAATTTATCTTGAGGTGGCAATTCTGGCATCAAGTCATCAGCACAATAGTCAGAGCTGTCAACTTCATCTTGAGTTGAAAGGGCCTGAAAGTACATCCAAAATTACAATAACGCACCAACATACACAGAAGAGAGGTGTAAGTTGTAACAAACGTACCATTGGCTGTTCAATAAGCTCTAGAGAAGCATCTTTCACTGCAGCTATATTTTCAAGTCCCCCCTGAGAATCCTTGACATTCTCTTTCTGAGAATTTTGATCTTCTGGCACATGAGAGATATTTGTAGATAATTCAGTATCAACAACAGAGGAACCATCTTTGCAACAACAACTTGAAACTCTCTTAACTTCAGAACAGCTAAGTCGTTTTGATCTGGGCAATATTTGCTTCATGGTTACTTCCTCATCAGAGCTTGAATGATATCCACTAATTATAACACTCCCATCTTCAGTGTTGGCGAGAGATTCTTTCCTCTCCCCTGAACTCTTCTGGAAAGTAGATTAAAAAAACAGAGAGGTTAAAATGATGTTTTGCAAGAGCTTTTTCATTGCAAAATTAACAAGAATTTCTTACTGAGTTTAATATTTGATTGCCGTCATCATCAAAATATATGTGTGTGTTATTTAAAGGTTTAGGAGTCAAGTGGATATGAAGCTGGCGGTTTTGATTACGAATATTTCTCTTCATGTAGTTCACGTAAGCTGACTTTATGAACGGTTTGTGAGAGCCACTGTCTTCTGATGCCCTCCGTTTCACAGAGAAAACATAACCCATCAGGTTAAAGGCCGCGCGTGCTCTATCTAGACCTGATTCATCAGGGTCCCTCTCATGGCTGCAAAATAGAATTGAATTAAATTCTAATAACAATAAATTCAAAACAATAGAACTTCAATCAATAAATACACTCTATACTGTATCATGCAAATTGTCATAACAGCCTTACCTCCTTTTTAAATTAATGGTACGATGCTCATCAGGTTGGTCTCCATCACCACCAGCACCTAAAGCTTTCTTACCAAGGAAAGCAGACAATTCTGATGTATTATTGACCTGAGCCCCAGACACCTGGTTATCAGTAGAGGATGAAGCATTGGTGTTTGTCTGTCTGTTACTTTCATCACCAGCAGGAGCCATAACAGGTTCATGAAACTGATTTGCGACATCTGAGTCCATGGTTTGATCTGTAGGTTGCATCGGCATCGGCTCTGAGACTTTCAGACTTTGCAAGAGAAGGCCAACAGAATTAATAATCCTGTAAGAATATGAAAGACATAAAGCATAGAATAAGAACAATAGACTAGTAGTTGTATTATTACTTCTGCTGTAAAAATGCGAAAGTAGGGATATGTACCTGCTACTTCTATTCAGTTGTTTTGATTTAACCCTTGAAGTTCTCTTCCTTCTCTGTTTTGTTGTGCTTCCCGAAATCTTTGAAGTAGAACCCTTATTAAAATCCGTTCCATCCTTTGCATTCTCATCATCTGCACTGGTTAAATATTCAGAATAATCAGGTTTACATGAGCTATGATCAAGATCTCCATTGCTCTCATCATGACTACTATCATCTTCTTCAATTGATTGAGGAAGCATGTTTGATGGTAAAGACGGTTGAAATATGTCGGTTACAGAATTTTTTACGATAAGAGACTTATCATCATTAACATTGTCTTCTTTGTGAGATGCGACAAAGGCATTATAATGTGCATAATATTGCTCATTGAAATGTTGCTTCCAGAGCTGCTGCCAATACAGATCAGCATCACACTCTGAGCTGTTGTAGGAACTTTGACTAGATACATTTTCTGATGAAGTCACAGAAGTGCTTCTGGCTGATTCATCCATATCACAACTGAAGTCAAATGATGACATAGTTATCCTTGTTACATTTGTCATGGAATCCGTTGTAACTGTTGATTTGGCAAGGCTGCCATTAAAAGAGTCTGCACCAACAGAGTTGTGTCCACTCAGTAAAAGTAATTCATCCTCACTGGTCTTACTGTTGTTTGAGTTAGTCATTTCTGTTTCATCAGGAGAGAGGGGGCACCAGCCACCTCCTAAATTAATTGTTTCTGAAACAATCACCAAATCTAAAGGACTCTTCTGAGTTTGGTCACACTCAGAATTTGAATGCATATCAACATTTGCATGGTTTAGAACATCATCATCTTGAGGACCTTGATGACCTTCACTCTTAACTGTATTTTGAGAATTACATTTTGGACGCGGAGTGTCTTGCCCAAAGGAATGATGTCGGCGTGGAAGAAGAAATGGATCTGTGGGCTGGAATGTGCTTGACTGCAAGCTGTAACTTGGTTCATTTTCAACTTTCTTCGAGGATGGGAACAAACCTTGGAATGAGTGCAAAGAAGACTGATCATTGATTTGATCTTCCGGTCCACACCCCTCATTGGCATTGGAATCTTCAGACACAATGGCGGGCTGTTGTCCATCCAAGTTAACAAGGTAGTCTGGATTAATGTAGCTTCCATACTTTGAAATCCAGCTCTCCCATATAAGTCGTTCCCCATTAACAGTCCAATAACGCTCCCAATCTACATCCCTGCCAACTAATGAATGTCCTCCAGATTCAGAGAGATCTGCGCCACTATCACTACCATGTAAGACAGCAGGCACACCCCCTCGCATGCTTTCATGCTCGTCAGTAGAGTAGTTGTTGTCAGTATGAGATGCACTGCAGTAGCAGCTGACAGGTTCTTCAGGTTTCTGTAAAAAATAAAATAAAATAAAAATTAAGGACAAATCTGAATTATTCTATAGAATTAAGACTTAACTGTCAAAATACCACTAACCTGCTTCTTCTTTGAATTTTCTACTTTCACAGGCTCTTCAATTTCATAAAGACCACCAATAGACTCAGTTATTTCACTTTGAATAGCGTCTTGCAGGGCATCATCATTGCATGGCCCATTTTGATTAGTATTGGATGCACTTTCCTTAAAGGACTGTCCTCTGTAGATAGAGAAACAGAGAGAAGGAGAGAGAGCAGCAATTGCATTAAAAAAGGTAAAAGAGCTAAGAATTTTATAACAAATACTGTGAGAGTCATCAAGTTAAAAATGTGGCAGAAAACAGACGAAATATGCAAAATATGAATGTTTAAGAAATTGTAGCGACTAGTAGCACCTGGGAGCGAATAAAATATTAAAGAAATAATTGTTACTCTATTATTTATAACCCACCCAATCATCGGTTACAGTGTCAATTATCATATGCATTTAGTAGATAGGCAATAAAAAAAAATTGAAAATTACTCAATAAAACGTACAGAAGTGTACACTAACTTATTATGTTAAAGAAACTGTCTGCGGTAAGTGCACATTACTCAAAAGCACGAAGCTTATGGTCAAGGCATAGGCAAAGCTAAATGGATTTTCTAAGCAAAAGTACATTTTATATGCATGTATGTAAAAAAAATACAACTCACCTGATAATAACTCTACTGCATAGGAGAAAAACATCATCATGCTCGGCGTGTCCATCGAAACCGAGAAACACCTCAGCCAAAGGTTCGAACACAGAATCACTCATTATTATATGATTAACAGCCAAGTATATTGAAATAATCCCTGTCAAAGCATCAACGACGCTTCAGAGCAGAACAGAGTTTTGGAGCAAAATACACGATAAGACACAGTTTGTGCCATATTTAAAGCATTCTTTGAAGAATCTGAAACACAATTTTCAATCATAGATGCAGAAGAAAACATAACAGAAACGCGGGTGGGTGGTGTGGTTCACCCTGCGAATAGCTATTGGGGTGCTATTCGCAGGAAAACATTCAGACACATACGTGAATCCATTCCAACAACTTTAACGGCGAAATTTTTAAAAATATTAATTTTTTCCGACGTTACGGGGTCAAAAGAAAGTGTTCCATTTGAAAAAGAAACCACTCATAGAGATTTTTTTTTACGGGCCAGCCTGTGGTTGATGGTTGATCCTCCAGCTTCCGTCAGGCGTTCATAACCATAACTTCCGGTTGCCCTCGCGTCCCATCGCGGCGTCTGTGCTGCTTCGCACCATTTTCAGCATTCGTAGGAAAATGGCGGATGGCGTGGATATTGATTTATATGCCGACGATTTAGAAGAAGGATTTGGACAGGTAAAATTTCAAACTGTGTTCGTAGGATTGCATTATGATGCACGTTAAGGTCTGATCTGTGAATTGACTCATAATTTACATCAGCGCGTGGTCCTCAGTCGTTTAGTTTCTAGCATAGACGGAGAGTTATTCTTGCCGGCTTTACCTGATCGAAATAATTTTCCTCTTCAGTGCAATCACCGATATGTTTATTTACATTTTGAAGTGCTGAGTTTGCTCATATGAACTTTCACCGGCCACTATTTTCCCTAGTATTTTCATGGGACTTGTTTTGTTTATTATATTGCTTCGGCCTTCAGCTTTAGGCTTACGCCTACTCGTGATGGTTCCTCTACCTTTGGCCATCATTTCTTAGTTACCTTATGACGAATTATAGATGAACTATCCCTTCCAGTTATTATGTTCAAAGTGCTTAAAATTACCTGGTAACCTACTTCAGTGCTCGGTTATTTGTTGTTTTGTCTAAAGCTTTGTTACTCACTCAATAGTTAATTTCTGGCCTCTTAAAGCTGACCCGGCCAAGTACTTATATTTTCTTACACGTAATGAAAACACTTTTTTCCTTGCTGTCCACAATTTTTTTTTCTTGTTTCCAAATTACGATTTTCTTATTGTATTCCGGCTTGAACAAATTTACTGCTTGAATATTTGTTGCTGATGCATACCTCTTGAGGCGTGCAGTGCAGGAATAATTTACTCTGATGTCTACATGCAGGAGTACAAGTGCTTCAGTCTCACTCTCACGTGCTAACCATTATTCTACTCCTCTCTTGGCATCATCCCAGCATCAGTTTTCATTATGTTATGCTTTTAATACAATTTAAATTATTTT